TGCAGGCCAGTTCCCAGCAGGGGACGCACAAAAAAGGCAACCATACATTGATGTTCCTCTCCCTCTCTCCTTCCCCCCTTCCCCTCTAAAAATAAATAAATAATAAAATAAAAAAAAGAAATAACTAAGTTTAATTTGTTTTTTGATTATTTAATAACCTGAGAAATATTCTTTCAAAGCCATTACCTCATAATTTTTATCAAGAAAGAAATAAGAAAAAAAGTAATATCTTAAAAGAAAACAAGGATAGTGCCTAATACTAAATAAATATGGTCATCCATGTTATTTTATGGGCAAATTTATACTACCTTAAGTAATTGTACTGCATAAAGTACTAGACTTCTATTACTAGTAATGCTAGTGTTAAAAGAAAGGAGTATCACATGGGATACAAAGTAAAAATGTTAAACAAGACCACTGCTTTGGGTCATTAGGTTTTGGAATATAGCTAATGTGCCAATATTTGAAATCTACAAATAGGATTCTACCATTTTTTTTCTAATTGACCCTAGTGCCTAAATCTAACAAACATACTACTCTAAGAAACATGTAGCATTACATTACATACAGAATGGATTTAAAACCATTACATATTATGTGAAACTCCTAACATTATTTGTTTCACAAAATTTTATTTATGTCCTTATTTGGGGAATATGTCCACTCTAGCACTGAATTTTTTTCTGAGAATCATCCATAAATGTCTAAGTCCTACCAAAAATAAACAGGAAACAGTGTTGAAAAGATGCAATGTATCTGGATCCAAGGTTCATAAAAACAGGCTGGATATAAAATCATATTCTAAAATAATTCCCTATGAAAATTTAAGACCATCAAATATGAAAATAAAGAAAATTATATTTACATTAAAATTAAAATAATATACTTAATACTTAACATATTAATATTAAATTAATGAGAATTCTAAGCCTTGAGTAACTAAGTCCAGAAAAGACTTATTTTTTAATTAAGGGTCCCAGAGAGTCCAACATCTCAAACAATTTAACTTAGCAGTAGTAATAATGTTAGGCTGTCTCTTTCTAAAACATCTTTGAGAATTAACAAGATTAGAGTAGAAGGAACAGTAGAAATGTCCTATTCCAGTCTTGTCATCTGAAGGTTAAACATGCTGGAACCCAGAGGAGTGCTTATCTAAAGTGATATACACTAGTCTTTTACAAGGATAAAAACCTAACTCTTGACTTCCTTCTATTACTCAGCTGTATCTCAGCAATCCAATTATAAAGCCCACCAAGTAAATAAACGAAACGGATGCTGGCCAGAAGGATCACATCAGCTTTCCTTTCTCCTGTTCTTTGATGACCTCATAATAATAGTAGCTTTTATATTCTTTTATTCAACAAATCCTGAGCACCTACTATGTGTCAGGCATTGTTCTAAGCACAGCAGTTTTTATATAGGATGTCCAGTATACCATAAAAAGATACATTAGTCCTGACTAAGCTTATAGTATCACAGTAGAAGTTTGAGATATTAAATATCACAGGTACAAAATGTTATTAAGGAAGATTTTAAAAATATTTCCAAATAAGGGAGACAAGGGATTCCCGGCTTTAACTTGAAGGGCAGATAGGCTTAAGATAAGACTTGTGGGAGGAGTGTTAGGCATTCCAAGGAGGGGACAACAAAACACAAAGACCCAAAAATAAGTGAAGAGGACTTGTTTGGAGAAAAACATCCACTTTGCTGGACTGCAAATCATACTACCAAATAAACTTAGAGATGCAGAGGCCACCCTGACTAGTGTGGCTCAGTGGGTTGAGCAACATCCAGCAAAGAGAAAGGTTGCTGGTTCAACTCCCAGTCAGGGCACATGTCTGGGTTGCGGGTTAGGTCCCCAGTTGGGGCTCATACAAGAAGCAACCAACCAATCAATGTTTCTTTCCCTCTCTTCTCCTCTCTCTAAAAAATAAAAAATAAAAAGTAGAGGCCACAGTGGTGAAGGGTCTGAAATATCTGAAAGTAATTCATCATCCTGTAGATGTAGTGACCATGAAAGATTTCTAAGGAAACTGCATTTAAGGTTAACTTAGAAGAAAACAGCACAAGAAGCAGGGAATCATTTGGAAGTTGGTGCAATCCTGTGAAGACATACTGAGACTTGAATTAGGGTGAAAGTAGGTATATGGAAAGATTAAAACGTTACAGAAGTAAAAAATGATATGTTGTGACAACCACTGCAAGCGGGAAGCGAAAGACAGACAATTTGGAGCTTTGATGGGAAAGAACTCAGGATATACCATTAACAGAAAATAGGCAAACTAAACTAAAGGCTGAGCTAGATGTAACCTGTTTAGAGATTGGTATAAACGGGGCGGGGGGTGGGGGGGAACGTACTGATCTTGTTTCAGAAAAGCAAATCTTCCCTTAGTAAAATAAACAGAATAGACTATGATATGTAAAGTACAGCATGGAAAAACACCCAAATTCAATCAGTGTAATTTGAAAATTGGATGCTTTTTATACTTAGTACATTTGTATAAACACAGGTACTAAAACAGGTCATATTTTAATTATAACATACATACCAAGCCTCAGCATGTTAAGATGCTAGAAATGCACTGTATATTGAAGTAATATTTAACAACCACAGGAGAAAATCAGTTGACGAATCAGTAGCAAAATGAAGCTAAGCTGTAGAAGAGAACAAATGATCCATTCTACGCACCACAGTTATTTGGTCCAGTAAGGTAAGTCTGTAATCATCAATTTCTTCCAATTAAATAAAACCCATGTGTCAAATTTGAGAACCTATCTGTACCACTGCCTTCTAAAATGAGCCACAAGGGTTTAACTGAACTGACATTGTCCAGAATGAATGGTTGGTTCAATGAAAAAGGACCAACTTACCAACCTAGCTTCTGGAATGTAAAGCTTTTTATTCATAGTTTCAAAGGCAGGGCTGAAGGGGACCAAAGTTTTGCCACCCCAAAATATTCCTTTTGGAATATTGACTTTGAGCTGGTAGTTAGGAAACAAAAAGATTCGGAAAGAACCTCTGACCCTTCCTTTACTTGCCTAGAGGAATTCAGATAGAAGACTAGGCTTAAAGGAAGGGAGCAATACTCTAGCATCATCACAGAGACCAACTGTGGCAGACAGACAAATCTAGCAGCAAAGCCTGTTGGCGGAACTTCCCTCTGGGTACCATGGCTTGTGACTGGCCCAGCAAGATTGTTTCCATGTCCACTCTCTCATCGGCCTGTAAATTGTTTATTTTCCCTTTGAAATCCCAGACCTCTGACCACCATTTTCCTTGGTCCAGAATGGCATGTAAACCTCAACGGCCCAATGCATTTTGGTCTCATTTTCTTATGCCGCCTCCTTATGTACTTCTGTTATAAATTTTGGACATTTTCTCCTATTTTAAAAGACAAATGAACAGACTTAAAAAAACATCCTTGTAGTCTTTCTGCCTTCCATTTAACAAGAAAACTAGGAGCTCCTTCAAGGGCAGGATTTATGTTCTAAGACAACTCATAGCCCCAATGCTCACTCAGGTTTCAGGCAGCCCCCAAAGAATCGCTGATCAAAGGAATAAATGAAAATCCACCAAGGAATGTTTTTCAAGTATACACACTTTCAAAACTTGGTATTATATAACAGCACAGAGCTAATGATCCAACGTTGGAGTGCCTACTATTCAACAGGTACTGGAGTTACAAAACGAGTAACACAAGACTCCTCCCTTGAATTTAGAATTCATTTCTCCAAACAAGTCCAACACCAAAAGTTTCACCAGAAAACCTTGATTTGCCCTATTTGTGTGACCATCAGTGAGTCTCTTAACTTCTTCAAGGTTGTTTCTCATGTGAAATACAGATGAGGAGGATTCATATGAGAAGATGTGAGAGGGCCCTGTGCGAATCACAAGCACCATGTAGGCCCACTGACCTGCCACAGGGCTCACCAAACTTGGATCTAACACATCATTAAAAGTGACACTAAGCATATGCAACCATTCTAGTGGCTCAACACAAAGCATCATCTTACCATCACATGGAAAGATCCTCAAAACAACAGTACTCTAAATCAGAAATAGGGTGTTAATATGAGGACAATATAATCATGATAAAATTACTTATAAACTTTTGCTAGACGATTTTTAAAAATTAAAAGTACGTTTTAATTCACCTGAGTTTTGTTGGAAAACTCCTACTGTAACTTAAGACAAAGAATATGATTAAAATTCAAACTTTAAATAATACTGCTGAATGATGAAATAATGCAACCACTTTTTAAAAAATAATGCCTTCTCCACCTAAGACATCTCAAATGAGCGTAAAAGCCCAATGTTTCAAAACTTTAAACTTTTGAAGTATACTAATAAACAAATTTGGAGGAAAAATTAAGACTTAAGTACTTCAACTGACCAAATCCAGCTTCTAAATTTACAAGAGTAAGCTTCCCCAAAGGCATGTCACATATCCACAGCCCTGTTTTCTTACTCACCTAAATTAATCCTCACAAGAAATAAATACGCCACTGAGCCAGAATTTCTTCAAAGAGTATGTCAATCAACCCCACATTCTCAAAGATAACGTTAAAAAAAAAACACTAAAAAGCTTCCCTCAAAAATAAAAGATGTTAATATGCTTCTGAGCCAAATGTCGACGTCACCCATTTCAACTTAATTGTTTAACAATGATGTACAAACATGAAAATGCATCACCATTTACTTGTGCACGGAATTTACACAGCAAGGAAACGTTTATCATATGAACCTTGGAGTCTTCTTTTGATGGTTTTATATATATCATCTACTGCTCCTTTCACTTAATTCAGAGAAAATTAATAATGAGATATCAAGAATACAAGATTTAAGACTATTTTCCAGAAAGATGACTTTTAAAACTGTTCTTCTATTGCTTGGATGATACAAAATGTTCTTAACAAGACTCATCTGCAAAGAACTGCTCCAGTATTCAAGCTTTTGAAGATTCTATTTTCAAAATTTGCATTAGTAAATGTTCTCTTACCTTCAGCTACATCGTCATCTACTGCTCCTTTCACCTGAGAAAAACACCACTGAATATCATTCCCTCCTCCAGCTCCTGGAAAAGAACACATACCAATTAAAACTGCATTCTGTTCATGTTTACTCTTGTAAACACTGAGATGGTATCCATGGTTGGCGTACTAATAGCCTAGTACTGCCCACATATACAACCAGTACCCCAGCACACTAACTTGAAAAAAAAAATTAGTTCCCAATAGTTGGTACTACTTTAGGACAAAAAAGAGATTCCAGGCATGAAATATTAAAAGGCCATATACTGTCAGAAACATTATATATGTGTTCAAAACTTCCCTTCCATTTTCCCTACCCCTCAAATACAGTAAAAGCCTTACTTATATATAAGCAAGACCTACCAGAAGAAAAAAAAAACAAAACCAAAAGTCAGAGTTTTCCTTTAAGTGTACAAAGACTCTGCAGAAGATTCAGTAAGATTAAAATACCACTGAAACGTGGAAGGAGGAGAAAACTTCAGGAACATTACTGCCTGGGTGAGGAGTGTAATGATTCGTAGGCAGCCTGTCACCAAAGTGCACAGACAGCAAATACAACATGCAACACCCATTTCTTGCATTTCATTCCCAGCAAATCAGTGACTCCACAGAGAAAAAGCCACAATGAAGGCTGGTGAAGAGATCATCCAGGGAAGCTTGTTTTGCCTCCCTTTATCTTATCCCTCAGATTTCAAAGGACCTTGCAGAAATTAATTTTGCTTATTTATCATCATCTAGTGCAAAACAATTTTAAGTTTAACTATTCAACAAGGCCAAAGAGCAACTTGTGTATAGCAAGCCGTAAGTCAATCCAACTTGTTAACTTTGTCAAAGGCTTTATCTATCCAAATATTGAAAAATCCAGAATTGTTTTGGTCCCTGAATGTTTCTATTTCACTTTTAAGTACTGAGGAGGAAATATCCTGGATCTATGGAGAAACTGAACCTAGGCGTAGTACTGATTCTACCAGATTATTTAGCCACACCACAATGTACAAAACTAATCCCCCAAGAAATTACCTTTCTCTTCCTTCACTCAACATTCCTTGCTTAACATTCTAACCTGTTTTTCTCTATGCATCCTCCCCCTCTCGCAAGCTTTTACCTACATCTCTCTCCTCTTGGCTATTTATATCACTGAACTCCACAACTATTTTAACTAACTCAAATTGAAACCCTTTCAGGAAAAGGACATCTGCACAAGGCTAACATGCAAAACGGAAAGTTGAAATCACATTTTTCATGCAACTTGCTCTATCAAAGGCCTTGCACTCTTTGGACATAAAGGGTAACAAACGAAAGAGATGGTTCGAGACCAAAAAAACCTCAGGTTTATAGTCTCAAAAATATACGTACACATAGTGCGGGGGGGGGGGGGAAGCACGTTATATTTTAACTTGTAACGCACTCTTCCTGCTCAGTGCAAAATATATTTGTATAAACACCCAAGAAGGCTTGCAGCAGGGGGAAAAACAGTAATTAAATGAAGAAAGGTCCGCCAAAGAGCCGGAGGGTGGGGGGCGGCTGGAGGTTACACCAGGCTCCAAAGGAGTAGGGACAAATCTGCACTCGCCCCCACCCCGCCCCACCCACGCCTTACCCCACAGCTCGCCGGCACACACCCCACCCCCACCCGTGCCAAGGTTCCAGCCTTCATTTTAAAAGCCATTTCGATTACACAGCGACCACTCGCCGCACCAGAATCCTCCCCACTCCCACCCCACCCCACTCGACCAAATTCCCCGAAATCCGAGGGGCGCCCCGAGGCTCTACGACAGGCACAGACGGTCGCTAGGGGGTGATGGAGGGAGGAGGAAGGAAGCGGTGCCTTGTCAGTGGCCGAGGGTGATTTCTCCTTTACCTGCCATGTTGCGCTGCAAATGGTGACCCTGCTGGGTTCCTCGGGGTCTCTGCTTCCTGAACTCACCCCCCTCACCTGGGGATGGGGGGGTAGAGAGGGCGGATGGCGGCGGATGGCACCTGTGGGGGTTGGGGGCGGGGGTCCGGGGAGAAGGAAGGAGGGGCGGTCAAACGAGCCAGCAGGATGGTGGATTTCACTCTGGGGCTTCCCCGCTCTTGCTTTTTCTCCAGCAGTGGCGGCGGCAGCTACAACAGCGACGGCGGCGGGAGCAGCAGGGGCAGGCGACTCCACTTTCAAAATGGCGCCGGCTGGCCTGGCCAGTGACGTCACCCGGGGCGGAGCCGCCGGGCCGGGCCGGAGGGGCGGGGCGGGGCGAGGGCTGGGCGGAGAGGAGGAGGAGAAGCGCGGGGGTGCGGCGGGGCGAGCTCTAGGCCCCGCCCCTCCCTCCCTCCCTAAGCCCCTAACCCGGGTCAGGCTGCTTGTCCTGGCTGGAGTGGCTTCGTTGCGCCCGACCTAGCGTGCTGGTGGTCTGGTCTCTCGCAGTGCCGGGGTGCCCGCTTTCCCGGTCTTGCTGCATATGGGTGTCCCAAACCCTCGCTCTAGTGTCCGTACTCCGAGGCGGGCTCAGCTGTCCAGCTACAGTGCTCGCTCGCGGGGAGTCTTGCGAGCCTGTCTCTTTTGAGCGAATACCCGTATTGCTCCTTCAAACAGTGACCCTGTGCGTTAGCCCAGAGGCAAGTGAAAAAAGGGACAGTGGTGCAAACTCTCTCCTTGGCCAAGGTGAAAGTTCGCGGAGCCAAGAAGGACGTAGCTGGGCTGGTTCCATCTGGGTGACCCGGGGACTGAGGTGAGAGTCCTTGGGGCCTGAAAGCGGTTAAGAATGTTTCTAAACAGAAAAATGTATTTGCTAATAGCAGAATATGGCCGAAAAAGTGGCCTGTTCTGTCCACCTAAAAGTGTAGAAACAGTGAGTAAGATCTGCGCTCTGAAGCCAGGCTGCCAAGTGCCGATTCCACACAGGAGGTGATGGTAACAATCCTTCCTACCTTATAGGATTGTTTCAAAGACTAAATGACTTAATTCAAGTGCATGATAAATGTTAACTTCGGTTATGATTAGATTTGAATTGAAAGCATCTTCAACAGAGTTAAGAGGTATAAGGAAAAAAATACGCAGGAAACTAGTCATCAGCAAGATGGGACGTGCACTTCATCGAAAAATGTGTTCATGATGCAGTCTCAATGTACATCTCACTGAATCTCCAGGATACTCCCAGGAGAGAGACATCCACGTTTTCCACACGAAAAACAAAACAGCCAGAATTTGACCTTAAAGTCAAAATGAGTGATAAGGTATTTGAAGACCACGGGGAAGTTTACAATATTTACATCTCCTGTTTATCATGTCCATTTTCTACCTTTTTCTGGATCTCCAGAGAATTCTATTGTAAAGTTTCCAAATTCCTCCACAAATGAAAACCTGCAGTGTTGTCTTACTATTCCTCCATTTCTACATTAATATTTTTTACTTTACTAATGGGCAAACCAAAACCGAAAATCCACCCTGTATCTGTCATCTTCCAGCTACCTGTGCAAACAGGTACAAAACTTCAATGCATTTGTGTGCTGTAGGTACTTCTATTTTGATTAATTTCATAAATGTACTTCTCTGACCATGCCTTTATTGTTTCTTTCTCCTTTCACTAGTGAGGGCTCTCTGCCTTAACCAGAACTCTGAGGGGACAGAAGAGAGAGAGAACAGACCATTAAACTGGGGACTGGCACCCCAATCCGCAAATCATTTTTCTTTCTTATACTTCAGTTTTTGCCATGTGTAAGATACGAATGTTAACACATCCTGGAAAATGATTTGACCTGCATAAATGATTTATTCTTAGAAGCCAATAAAGCTTGCCTAAAACTGCGATGATTATAACAAAAGTTCATATAGCACGGACAATGTACTGAACACTATTCTAAGAACGTTGTATAGAGTCCTGAGAAGAACTGCTGATGAGATGAACTAAGATGGATATAATAATCAAAGGCCTGTGCATCTTGGTACCCAGCTATGAGTGGACCTGGCACTTTTGAACCTGAGCAGTCATTTCAGCCCACCATAAACTGCCTCCCTTTCTTCTGAATGGCCCTTAGGAAGAGAGAACAGCATACCCACTAGCCCAGAGGCAACGATTGCTCTTGTCTGTCTTTCTTCCGTAGCTTACATTCTATCTTCTATCCTCTTCACTAAGGCTTCTGTCCCTATGGATTCTGTTAAGGTCATTAACAATCTCCATGTTATCAAATCCAATAGTTACTTTTTTAAAACATTTTATTTATTTATTTTGAGAGAGAAGGGAAGGAGAAAGAAAGGGAAAGAGAGAAATATACATGTGAGGGAGAAACATCTGTTGGTTGTTTGGACCATGGACCTGTTGTAACCCAGACATGTGCCCTGACTGGGAATCTAACTGGCAACCTTTAGGTTCACAGGCCAGTACTCAATCCAGTGAGCCACACCAACCAGGGCCAATGGTTACTGCCTCGGTATTATCTTTCTCTGCTTCCCAAAGGCAGTTGAAATGGCTGATCTCTCCATGCCCACTGAGACCCTTTTTTTCCCTTGATATGTGATTGGTTTCCTTCCAACCTTTCTAGCCACCCATTTCATTTTCCTTGACTGGCTCCTCCTTCCAGTCCACCCTCTAAATATTAGGGTGACCTTTCTCCCTAGCCACTGTCCTGGGCCCTCTTCTCTAACTGCACACTCTCCCAGAAAACCTCCTATAGTATTTCCAGATATTAACAGATGTAAATATCATGTATTTATCAGTGGCTGCCAAATTTAGATCTCCAGCTCTATCCTCATCCCAGAACTGCTGACATAAACACCTACCTGCCTACCTGACAGTTTTATAGATTTATGATAAGCATGTCAAACAAGCACCACCAGAACGCAAGTCTTGATTCCATGTCCCCTGCACCACAGCTTAGACTATCCCTCTGCTGGGAACAGCACCATCCCTCACCCCAGTGTTCCCCCATGCCCACCCCCTTTCCTTCCTCAGCAGGTAAATGGTTATTCCAAAACCAATTTAGATGTAACTGCCTCTAGGAAGCTTTCACTGATATTTTTTCCCATTGCTTATCCACCTGAAGCTGAACTTGTTGCCCTTCCTAAGTATTCTCGTAAAATCTAATATACTTCTCCCTTACTGACTTATGTTTAAACTATGTAAGTATATGTCTGTCGTTAGACTCAGTGCTTTGGAGGTAGGAAGTATGTCTTATTTATCCCCATATCATCATGCACAGAGTTTGCTGGATTAATGGGTAATTGAATAAATCTCTCTGGCTTGGGAAGAAAACCAGTGGAATGCTGGCTTGTTAAAGCTCACCATTTCATAAATATTTTTACTTACCCTTCTTATCCCTGGAAAAAAGAGGCATTTTACAAATTATCTTGGTCATTCTGATCCACACTTGTTAGGCCATAGTTGGTTAAATATGTATGTTGTGTATAGATAGATTCACAAGAAGAAAACCCTCTGTGGGTTTTCCTGGTGAAGTCCTAGAGAGTCTGTAAGTCCTGGAGGTGTCCTACTTCCAATTCAAACTGAGTGGCACCAAGGACACCCACAATCTTGCCAGCACCATAGAGCCCCTAAGACTCACCTGTGGATTTTTGCAAGACAGCTTTTTAAAGTATATTACATGGCAAAAAAAGAATCACTTGAAAGTTTTTTTCTTTTTTCTTGGAGTCCAGATGCACACAAACCTTCATCTACACTGAATAAGAAGTGACATTGTTTGGATGCTCCTTTCCTCTAGGTAGTTAGGACTTGGTAGGGGAGGAGGGTATCTAGGAAAGATCATGAAGTCAAGGGTAAAAGAAGTTCCTGTTTAGAAAGTGATACATGTTGGCAAACTACTACCCTGCTTTCTGACAATGGAGCAGGTTCAAGGGCTTTATAAGGGAAATTATAAGAATATTTTTATGTACTTTCTTCATATCTACAAACTTGGCCTGGTAGTCAGTTTCCCAAAACTCTACAAAATCTAGACTATAGTGACAGTTCACTCCACAATGTTCAAGCTGTAGAACTCGCCATCAAATCACCAAAAATCCTACACTAGAAGGATGTAAGTGTTTAAGAAAAATGGCAGTGAATCCACCGGGTAGATTGTTATGTAATCAAACTTTTGTTAAAAAAAAAAAGAGGAAATTGTTTGTGCTTTAGGTACAGGATACAAAATGCAAATACAATATTAAGAAAACCTGATATGATCACAAGTGTGTACAACAAAGCATGTGGAGCCAAAAAAGACAGGAAGGAAATGTACAAAGGTGTTCCCAGAAATGTCTCTGGGCAGTGATACAACGGGTATTTTTTCTTTGATATTCATGTTTCTCCAAATATTCTATAATTAACATATAGTAAGGGAAAAAATAAACTTAATTTTAAAAGTTAATTCTAATGTTGGTATTAGAGTATGATGATAAAATCTATGGTATAGATTTTTCACATTAAAGTTGTAGTCCATTATAATGGTATATACAGATGTAATTTAATCTTTGGTTTGACTATAAAACAGAGAAACATTCTCTATTTTGTTTTTTCAACAGTACGCATAGGTAACAAGGAAGGAAAGGTTAGTAAATTTATGCCATTATCTTCTGTATATAAGTTGCAACCAAAAATCTTGTTTTATTTCTTCATGGGAGGTAAAGTCCATAAATTTATAACCTGAATTTACAATCTATATCTATTTGTTATAAAATGAAAACTTGACTTGAAATTAAACATTATCTCTGAAATCTATTTTCAGTGTTCTTATTAAGTGATCTCAAATGACCTGCAATGTAGGCAAACTATTATCCGAACCACCTATCTGATTGAAGTATGTACAAGTCTACTTCCTCACTGCAGATTTTTTATCTGGCATTGGAGTTTAGCTCTGACCCTGGTATGTGTCTTATGCCTAAATAACAGAAACGTATAGGCTCCGGACTGGAAGGAACTTTAGGCACTAACTACCCCAGTTCTCACAATGGATGCCTTCCTATGTTCACTTAGCCTCTACTTAAAAAAACTTCCATTCTATAGTGAAGTTTTGCCACATTTTGCCGTATTTTCTTCACAATTTAAAACCTATTTCACTGCTATTCCTTTCTCTTTTTTTCTTCCACAACGATGCTCTGCTCTCACTCATGGCACTGGTGTGCTGCAGCCAACTCACGGGGGCTCTCAAGAGCTGATTGTTCAAGGACTAAGAATGTTGTGAGCTGGTTGTTAAAAAATAATTAT